AGTAAAATTATCTTAAAAATATATGTAAACATTGTTAGTAAGAATATATAATTTATCAGTGTTAACTTTTCGTACAGAAAATAGAGTACAAAGTACATGAACACAAATTGGTCCAGTTAATTAACACCGTCCGATATTTAAGGTAAAAGAGTTTCCAAGAACCAATCAAGATTAGGAATGGAAAGAATCACGTTTTAAACCTGCTGATCCACAATCCAGCATAAAAATATCACTAATTAAGTTTTTTTGTTAGAAAAAACAAAAGACCTACCCTCGTTAATTTTTTCTGGAACTCCAAAAGTATGAGGCACCGCTTGATATTGTAAGTACAAAATCGTTCCGTCGGTGCAACCTATTACAATATTTTCGTAGTCAACAGCGTGTACCAGAGAAGGTATCAATTCTTGTAATAATGTTACTTCAAAACGACTATAATAAGTTGATGGTAGATCTCTGTCGGAAAAAAGAGTCCTCTGCGATAAATCAAGGCGATACAAGACCCTGCATGCTAATAAGACTACGCAGCGTAAATTACGCGTTATAGGTTCGGTAAAAAATGTAACATTTGGCAAGATGCTGGATGAAAACTTGAAACGAACAGCTTTGGTTGTATCACCAGGCTGATCAACGACTTCTTGAGAATGTATCAAAAATCGCCTTAGCTCTAACACACGACCAGAATCTGTAACTCGCCATGCTATATAAACTGTTGGATCAACTTCTGAATGATAAATAGATCCTTGTGTCGCAATTTCTTCGTCATCTAATTCTTGTTCAATGCTTGATGGTTCCTCAACTCGTATTTCATGATTAATAGCCTCTCCCTGCAAGGTAAAATATTCAAATGAAACGTTGGTGCTCTTGTATAAATGATAGGAACCCATTATATGATTAAAAAAAAAAAAAAAAAAAAAGATATATGACAGAATTACGCGTTTAAGCTAAAAAATTATTAGAAAATGTATTTGTTAGAATTACAATAAATAGATCTGTTTTATTTCAATCAAATTGTAACGTTTCACAACCAAATAATCCAAATGTAGCAATCTGGCATTTATTGTGTGTAGTGCAGTAGTGAATCATATGAATTCTAGAACGCCGATCATTACAAAGGTTTTTTTCATTTGGATTATATGACGGGAAATTTGAATTTAGCTATTTAGTCAAGTCGATTTTGCTACTCTCCTCTGACTGAAATCAACTTCTTAATAGACGATGGAGTCAGAACGCCAAACAAAAAAGCCCAAATTATCTGATCACTTGTTGGAATTAAAGGTGTTGATATATATATATATATATATTACTTTTCTTTTCAGTTCTTTGTTAGCACTGACATATTAAATACAAGTACGATTGATATATAGTTTATGCAACGTACACAACAAAAACTTCGAATAATTGATGAAAATGCTAGACATCTTGCAATAAATGGTGAATCTCAGTGGTGGTTAAACTATGACGATGTGGAAATTGGGAAACCGTATGTTTCAATTATATTTAAGAGTTATTTTTTATTAATCGTTTTACAAAAAAATTTTAATTTAAAATTATTGCATTAAAAAATTGGCATTAAAAAGTAAACTTAATGTCAAATATTCTCCAAGTTATTTCTCTTGTATAAATGCAGCATTTTCTGGGAGAATGTCTTTTGGAAAGTCTTCCAAAAATGATGAAATTGAGGTAAGCCTGAAATTATTGAATATCCAAGTTTAGATTAGAGAATAAATGAGAATTGTCACATAATTAGGCGCCTGTTTTGCCCGAAATTATAACAATTGAGGACGACGACGACTATACACCATTTGTTAGAAAGTTTGATAAATTTAAGCGCAAACGTGAAGAAAGTCGAACCGCTCGTAGCGCTCGAAAAAAAAGAGCTATTGAAGTTAAAAGCAGTGAAAATGTAAATGAGCGCAAACGTGAAGAAAATCAAACCGCTCGAAAAAAGAGAGCTATTGAAGTTAAAAGCAGTGAAAATGTAAATGAGCGCAACGATAGCATTCAAGTCACTCAAACACGCTATAACTTAAGGTCTAGAAAACGACAACCAACGTCTTATCAAGACGATATAGAGATGATTACATCCAGTACTCGGGATAATCTAAATATCGGATTTTTAAAACCACCTGAATGATTATTCGCATTAGAGTCATTTGAGACAATACTTTGATTATTTGAATTTCACATCCGATCTTTTAAGGTGAAACGTTTATACAATTAAAAATAAAACAGAAACTAGATCCACATAGTGAGTGGCGTTGCAGGTCTTTGGTATTTTATTAATGTGAATATTGCACATGAAAAGGACATTCAATTAAAATAGTAATGTAAATATCTGTTCATTAAAAGCATTAATAATTTTGGACCAAGTTAACATTTTTGATCGATAAACATGTCGAGAGTTCCTTGCTGAATTTTTTTGGGTGAATATTTGAGTATGCTCGTTTGTGTCTTTCCACGACGATAGCTAGTCACATAATAAAGTCTCATATAAACCCTATGTATAAGATCTTTCGCCTAAAATAAGCATGAGTATAGAGATTAATATGTTACAGAATGATAAAAGCATAGTAGTAAGTCACCTTACTTTTGTTCGATCCATGAATGCAGCTCTCATATCAACTAAAATCAAAAGAGAAATTAAATGTATATATATTTTTTAAATCGAACAATATCTATTTTACAATTTTTTTTTTTATTTACCTATTTTTCCGTGTAAATGCTTTAATCTTTGTATGATATCCTCAATAACGTTCTTTAATAATATAAAAACATAAATAAAAATAACTTTCAAAATATGCATCTGTTATGTTAATAAAGGTGGCTAATTTTTGTCATACCTTTTCAGATATCATCTGCTTTTCGTCGTCAATAGCGAAATTAAGTAATAATACTTTATAATATAACTCATTATAATTTGTATTAATATTGAGTTTAAATATTGACTCTTCATCATCAAGGGATGTTAGAAGTGGTTCTAATGATAAGGGTTTCGAGATATCGATCTACATTAAGTGAAATTCATTTTAGTTACAAATTTGAAGGAATAATTTAGGTATAAAGTTTGTACATAACGGAAATCTAACCTTATCTAAATTCCAAGTTTTAGAACTCGAGGTAAAGAGTGATTTAAATGCCAAAAGTCTTCGTAATAAACGACCTCGAATTGAAACTGGTAAATTTTCTAATGTAACTGCGTTAAATTTTGTCACAGTACCACATGCTGAAGCGATGTTCTCACAGATAAGTTTGACCTAGGTTACGCAGTTTACACGTTATTTATCGAATAAGTTAACTACATTATACACATGATTCATACTTGGAAACTCCAATCGTCTTCAGGGAAAAGATATAAAAACGAATCGACTGTTTTTTCAATATAGGTAGATATCGAAGACATACGTCTATCCAAAGATATGCGAAGTACAACACATATCGCTCGTCTTATTTCTTCGTTGTTAGAGAACGATAGCAATCTATTTGAAAAAATATATATGTAGAATCGATTGATCTGCAAATTAATTTTAAGATGTTTCAAGGAAAAGTCCTCTTGCCAACCTATTTTCAACCAAGGGTGCAATTGTTTTCAAAAGAACTTGCAAATTGTAAATATAGGGGAATTTGGTTGAAGGTTCTAAAAAAGATATTTAATCAAGTTACAGCTATACTAGTAAAATAACTTCATATCATCAAGTTTATATATTACCTAGTGACGTTAATGACTTTGTATGTTCCTCCAATAAACATTCATATCCTAGCATTCGGGATGACGCGCCAAATGCGGCTAAAAAACCATATATTAATGAAAACGACACATTAGTAGGTTCGACAGCTGTATTTATGCTGTATCGGCCCTTGAAAGATAGATAGATATATATATATTTATATGATGTAAGATAAATTCTTGTTAGAATACAAAAAAAAAAAAAAAAAGAGAAAAAGAAAAAAAAGATAAATACACTAATTTCAGCGAGACGTTTTAAAGTATGGGAAGCTGCTTCTATTATGATTGAATCTTCCTCATAGCTTACTAAATTAAAGTTTTTTGCTTTTCTTAATTGTATGTTAACATTAATTTTACAAACTTAAACGTGATATTTACTTAATTCTAACAGCCATGAAATAGTTTCAGATGGTAATTTCATTCCAAGTTCGTATTGTTGCGGAATCCAATCTTGACATAGAATATATTTTAGAGTTTCATCGTCTAAAAACAATAAATTGAACCAAGGATGTCAAAATTTATACCATTTTATAATAGAAAGATAGTTATTGTTTCTAAATACCGGAAGATGATCCAGCTATTAGTGCAAACGCTGGATCTTCCACCGCATTCATGGAAGTCTGTAGGACCGGGCTCGGTAAATTCTGTTAAGTACATGACATTATATGAACAATATATTTAGAACTTTAGAATATTAATTAAGAATTATATAATTAAATTTACTTTACTGTATAATTGTTATTGCAGAAAAATTCCACTTGCTGATCTAAATCAACATTTTCATCTTCTTTAAAAATCTATATCCGAAATAAATATATTAAGTTTCTATCCTTATTATTAAAAATTCATATTATTAATAAGGAATTGGAATCAGCTGAAATTTTTAGTCGACTAAGAGAAAATATTATGTATCAATTAGTTGATTGATTAATTAATAAATCGTTCGACTAGGTAATTTCATTATTGATCAATCAGTTAATTGATTATGTTAATATCGACTAACCTATTGCCGTAAATCGCAATATAAAATATCAGAGTATGTTATATTCCATCGATTAAAAACCTTATTATACTCGACATTGCATAGAAAGGGGTATAGTAACTGGAAGATTTCTATCTGTTTATATATATAACTTATCTATAACATGGTATAGACCCGGATATAATAAATGGTATAATACAGGGGTCTGCTATAAAGCGGGTTTTTTATATGGCGATTTACAGTAGTCATGACTAATTAATCTGATTCGATTCCTACGCTTAAACAGTAGATTTGATAACCCAACCTGTTGTAAATGTTCACGTTTTATATCTTCATTTAATACTGAAGCAGAAACTTCTGTACGGTCATAGATATCAAATTGATCATCTATTTCGTAAAAAGACTAAAATAATAATAATTTAATAACAATAAATTAAATCTAATAATTCACTAAAAAGATATGCACATCTTCACTGAGTGCAGACTCCATTCTACGAATATCATATCCAGCTTTATCACGATGTTTTTTCTCTCGAAGAAGGGAAGATAATGAAAATTGATATGAATTGCTCGTGGTGGATGCAGATCTGCTCACATAAGGAATTTCACCACGAAGCGGAACAGCTTCTGCGGTTGGCACCATCTGCTGAAAAGAAACTTGTTTTCTAGGACGCGTGCTTCGACGTAAAATAGGTTCGTCACTCTGAGAACTAAAGAAAAAAATTTAGTGAAACGTTGCCTTACATATTGTATGGACTTTATATAAAATTATCTACAACGAACCTTTCACTTCTCTCAAACAATCTATTTGACAACTTTTCTGAAAAAGCCAACTCAAGTTCTGTTGATGATAATAGATCGTCATCTTCTTCGTCTTCAATAACCTTTTCAATGAATAAAAAAAGTTTATCGTCTAGATCGTAAATAAAATGCAAGAACTTACATTACACACTTACGGCAGGAATGCTTAATAACTTATCGTCATCCGAACAGTCCAAACTTGTGCTGCTATGACAAAAAAAAAACAATGTATTCAAAGATCACTTTACAACCATAAAATGTGATCGTAAGGCAAGTACTTACCGAAACGCATCACGTCCTTGAGTCTTTACTTTAACCATTCGTAATACCTTACTTGAAAAATCTTAATGGTCTAATATCTTGCTATTAAAATTACTTAGTTTTAGAGTTTTAAGCTTGTAAAATAGTATATAAATTAAAAAACGCCAACACGAGACGCGCAACCTTTTA